AAAAAAAAAAAAAAAAAAAAAAAATTCGGCGAAAGCACGGTTATCGCGTTCCTCTCCTGCGACCTCGTATTTTTGCATATTACGTGCATTCTATGCATATTTGCAGCATTGAATTTCCCATGGAGGCATAAATATCCGCAGTCTGATTATCATTGTTGCGCTATCGATTCACGGTTTAACAATGTAAACGAAAGGAATCATGGTTCGTGTAACACCGAACGGCTCGTTTCACGTGCACGCTTCTTCGATCGTCTTCTCTCGCTTCTTCTCTCGTTCCCCACCTTCGTGTTCGAATCTTTTTCTTTTTCTTTTTTCCTCCCCTCTCTTTCACAGTCGCTATCCTCGCGTATAATAATATCGAGTTTAACGCAAGGTTTCAAAAGATTCGCGTGAATTTTCCAGAGTAGAATTCTTCTTCTAGCCGATATTTTATAGAGAAATCGAGCAACCGTAATCTCCTTTTCACTGTAAATTTATCACATTGGAATATTTATGCGGCATTCACACATTCACCACGTAGGTTTTGATAATGGAATTATCTTATCTATTCTGCTGATCGAGAATAGAGACCGAAAGTGGCTCGTTTCGTAACGACTCGCGACGTTGAAACGCATAAACGACTTGTATTTTTGCTAATAGAAATTTCATCGTACACATTTTTGTCGCGTTTCGGAATTTCTTTTTATAAAATTCTTCACTTTTCGTGATAATGCACAATAATGAAAGTTACGGAACAATTATTGGCAACTTGTCAAGCAGGCAGGTCAAATCCACTGCGTCGCGTTTGAGAAGGATTTACGAGAAGGGGCAACGCTAAATTTTGACACCATCACTCAGAAAAATTCGACTCGACATTTGCAAAATGTCGAACCGCGTACTCTTCGTTCGCCAATTTGTCAATTATTGGCAAGTCGATTGCCAACAAAAGCCACGCTTTCTTTTTTTTTTCTTTTTTATAAATATATCTCTGTCGTATCATAGTCACTTCGTATTTGGAAGAAATGGGAAATCGTGAGATTTTTTTCCACCTACTTTTTATCAACTTTTGCTTGCGGGACACGGTCTTTGAACGCGTGTTTGTTTCGCAGGTATGTACGGAGGGTAGATTAATATTGGAATTCACGTTTGACGACCTCATGAGGATAAAGTCGTGGCACATGTCGGTGAGGACGCACAAGGAGCTGGTGCCGAGGACCGTGGTCGGCATGCAACAGGACCCAACGATGCTCGAGCAGCTTAGCAAGAACATCACAAGGCAGGGCATCACCAATTCCACCCTGAATTACCTTAGGGTACGTATGCGTTTTAACTGTCCGCCGTGTGGAACGTGGCGAGTCGAAGGTGGCTTGTTTTACGAGCAACGATCTGTTGTTTGTGATACCGTCCTCGTATTACGATTCCTCTGTACGTTTGCTCGGTGATTTATGGAAAACGTACTCTGTGCGATCTATGCAGATCGATTTTTTTTAACACTTTCGCTTTCTCGAGGATCGCGATCGAAATTTTTATCGTGGCAAAAAAAGAACGTTTGTTGTTTTTAATAATCAATATAAAATTTATCGCTTCTTTATATTGCTTATCTGCTTATCGCATTATTTTCTCAATTTTGAAACGAACGTGATACGTCGTCCTACGTGTAATAATATTCGTTCGTTCGTGGCGAAAGGGTTAAAACTCCCACACGCGGCGAATGAAACACATTATTCGAAAGGAGAGCGTAAAGGGCTAAATGGGGCGAGGAGATCGGCTCGCGAAAGTACCGATCGAGTATCCGGGTTACGATCCACCTTCTTCTGCACACCGCAAGTGTCAGAAGGCGCTTTCACTTGCGCTGAAACGACTCTCGTCGCGTCGACAACCTAACTGGAGAAAATATTTTCCATCGATAGTTGCGGGCCAAGTTGTGCAGAATACGCTAATCCTTGAAATAACTAGCGATTCTCTGATCTTTAGTCTACGTGAAATTTACCGATCCATGGAACAACTCTTAACATTATGCAAATGAAATAGTTTTCACGCGCGTAAGACTGAATAATATTAGTTCACTACACACTGTTAAATAAGTCATTGAAAAAACATCCCTTAATAGAAACGAAGCTACTTTATTTTCCTTCATTAAAATCTTCTGCGTAACTTGGTCTTTCAGTTAAAAAAAAAAAAAAAAAAAAACGAGAGAAAAATTGTACACCTCATTAAATTATCATATCGTCGTGCATTATACGTAATAATTTAATCGGCGAGTGCCGGTAAAAAGTGGAGTAGATACGCGACGTGTGACGAACAAGGACACAGGGGGAGAGCGAGGGAATCGATCGGAAACCAGACTGACGAGGGAATCGACCGTACTAACGCGAATATTAATTAAAATGAAATTAAAGTTTTGCAAAATTTCGGGACGAGGGTGAGAGGGAGGGATGGGGGGGGGAGGGTCGGTGGGCAGCTTCGGACGAAGCTCCGAACGCGCGATCTCACCCCCTCCTCCCACCGCTATCGATTACTTTAATTGTCATCATTATAATATAAAGGCTGCCGGGAAATTACGTGCTTACGATAATAATGTAAAATGGATTTCAGTTTTATTACGGCAAACATAAACCAAATTTAATTTGCTTTGGAACGGTGTACACGGAAGAACGATGGCGCGGCAGAAACGAGCGAGCGATCTCGTGCGCGTTACGTTTCGCGCATCGTGGCGCGAATATATTTTAGGAAGTTTATTTTCAACCGGGTACACGCCGTATACGATAATTTTCATATTAATAGCGCGCGTAAGTTCCCTGTCGAACTCGCGTCGGATTAAATAACAGTCGCGTCTCGTTTCGTTTCTACGTGCCGGGCGCGATATTTTCGCAACGCGAAAGGAAAATCGTCCCCGATTTCGCATCGTTCTCGGCGCATGAAGATACAAATGGACCCGCGTCGTTTCCATTCGACACTCTTTCGTGACATTTATTTAAATAGATAACTCTGCGATAGACACACACACACACACACACACACACACACACCGGGATGTGTCCGCGGCGAAAAAGTTCTCGATCGAAACGCAAGCATTTGGAGGTTTTCGCGTTCGCGAGTCGAACTGAAACTGCTAATTCTATTTTGAAACGTGCTAGTTTGTAATTTACGTGGATTTGTATTTATCTTGCAATGTGTGGGTGAAGATCTCGGTATATTTTTGGGTAGTTGTGTATGATCAAATGCTACGACGAACTTCGTTTATTGGATCTTGTCGATAGTTCATCGGTTTTTCTCTAAGTTAATGTTTCTGGTTGGTATAATGGAAGTTCAATTAGTGGAATCAATCAGCAAAAGTTCGATTGCCACATTCACTGCACACGATATACCATGTAGACACGATAGACACACTTTTAGACTCCATGCATGCGGTACATATTGATCTAAAACGCAAAGCAAAAAGCACGAAGTAGTA